TCAAAAATTTATTTAATTTGAGTTTTTATCTTTTACATTAATTACATTATTATATATAATTAAACGTACCCAATGATTAATATACAGATCCATGACGTAATGGTAGTGCGTCTGACTCCAGATCAAAAGGTTGCGTGATCGATTCATGTTGGGTTTAAGATTTTGTTTAATTCCAATTTTTTTCTTTTACATTAATTACATTTTTATATATAGTTAAACGTACCCAAAAATAAATATATGGATCTGTGGCGCAATGGTAGTGTATTTGACTCCAGTTCAGAAGGTTGCGTGTTGGTTGGGTTAATTTTGTTTTATTTTTAGTCTTTCCATTTGATATTTATTTTGGGTTCAAATTCCGTTTTATTTTTAGTCTTTTCATTTGATATTTATTTTGTGCTCAAATTCCGTTTTATTTTTAGTCTTTTCATTTGATATTTATTTTAAAATATATATCATTTACCATAATCAACATAATTGGATTCTTGGTGTAATTGTAGTGTGTGTGTCTCTAGGTTAGAATGTTCTGTGTTCGATTCCCGTTGGGTTTTTTTTTTTTTCATTTTTTGCTTTTTTTATCTTTAATAATTTGTTTTTCTTTATCTTTCTTTTTTTTATAATTTCTTTATCTTCAATAATTTGTTTTTGTTTCTGTATGTATTCAATTCTGATATGAAGTAATCAAGGTATGAGACATTTTGTTTTTCATGCACGTGTGATGTTTTTTAGTATTTAGGGTCATTGGTTTTAACTTTTTTTTTTAACAAAAAAGTGATTTTATTTTTTATTTTTTGAATATTGCTAATTTAAAAATTAAACACTTAATTAAAAAAAACATTTAAACAAGTTGATTAAAATTTACACATTGCTGGGCGGTTGAGCTTCTTTTTTCTTCCACAGAGATCCGATTTTTATTCCTTATCTTGTTGTATTTAATGTCAAAACGAGTATAGCTTAGCTGTAATTGACATATACCTCCAACCAAGAGGTTGTGAGTTCGAATCCCCTCCCCAATATGTTATACTAAAAAAAAATTTATAAAATTAATATTTACCAATATGTCTATATTTTAATCATATACTTGTCAAGAGTTTACACAAAGTCAAAGGAATTCCTAATTTACTTTATTTTTTTTTTTTAATTCGGTGACATGCCAATGTGAGGATTTGAACCTTCAATCTTTTAGTTGATAACATATGTGTTAACCTATGGAGTTATGCTCAAGTTTACTATTGATCCTTCAGTAAAACTTGCACAAAATACATAAATTTTAACTCGGGAGTCCAAACTTCATAAATTCAAGTTTTTTTTTATATAGAAAAGTCAAGCTTATTAATGTGAGGTCAAACATCTCTAACATGTTTTTCAAGATTCAATAAATCACTTTTGAATGTGCCACCACCCAATAAAATTGCCTTATTTTAAAGTCACTTTAGGCGTTTCAATGCAATTTCAAACGTATCATTGACAATGTATGCAAAAGTTCATGTGTTGATAATATCTCCTTTTCCCAACCATACCATACCCCATAAATTCAATCAGAAACTAATTAAGCGTTCTATATTACATTCTAGATCAACTTAAACGTATGAGACGTTTGATATAATTTGAAACTCATGAAATAAAATTATACATCAAGCAATTGTGTAATTCAATATTAGTGAAAAACGGAGAACTTTAGCATAATCCAAATATATTATCGGCAAAAAGATTGGTGGATTACCCCAACATGAACTAAAAAAAATATATTAGTATTAGTGAAAAATATGGCCTTTTTTCTCTTTATCTAGAGGGATTATTTGTTGGCTAAGTTTGTGCCACGTGTGCAGATGAAGTGGAAGTTAAAATAAGAGCATAAATCATTCAGTAAATAAAGGCATATAATCAAAAGACATGATCCCCATGTGATGGCTGCCAGTGGGTGGGACATTCATTTTTTTATTTATTTTATTCAACGGCTCCAAGTGCGATGGAACAACAAATGGAAATTTTAATATATTTATTTAAAAAATACATATATTTTATGTTTTGACCTAACACACAATCTTTGGCTCACGATGGCTGAGACAAGAAAAAAAAACATACATCTTAAGAAAACAAAACCTAAATTTATGCTAAATCACCCCTTGAAAAGACCAACACACTTTATCAATTTATATTAATAATAAATCATCTCTTTATATATAAAAAGAATTGTATCTTCAAGGGACGTTTTTTCGTATGACATCGAATAATAAACGGCCGCAATATTTGATGGTGCGACATGGGAGGATTAAAATAAGAAATTAAAGTAAGTTTAGGCTTTGTTTAAAAATATGAAAATCAGGTAGTGGGTTGTGTTAAGTGCAATTTGTTAGCATTACACATATAATAAGAACAAGTTTGATCCTCTAATCCATAATAAACCCACCCACTTCCAGTTTGTATTTGTACATAAAATAAGAACAAAGTCTATGCAATTCCACCTAATTTATTTCCATATTTGGGTAACGCACATTTCCAGCTCCCACAGTCAAAAAAGTTTTTTTTTTCTTTTTTTTAAACAATATAATAGTTGTGTAAATTGTTGGAGAAATGTAAATTATTGAGGAAATGGCCGGCCTGTACTAAATGTGTTGGTTCAAAAGTGGCAGAAAAAAAAAAAGTGTAATAATGGGAAAGCAAAAGGAATGCATGTGAATCAGATATTACAAAGTTTAAATTCAGACTGAATAAGAGAGAAATATTAGATGGATAAATAAATGGATCACCACTCCCTCCTTCATGGACCCATTTTTTATTGCTTCGAGAACATAAATTTGATTCAGTAAAAAATATAATTCTATTTTATATTTCGTATGGTGTCGAATATGTAGTTGGATATCGATTTAAAAATTTATTCGAGCTACGTTTAGTAATGTATTTGTGTATATGTCGTGACCAACTAACTATTTAGTTGAATTCAAAATATTATCAATTAATTTATTAATATATATTATAAATTTTGTATAATTATATTTTTATGATATAGTATGTTACATATGCTTCGAGTTTATAACATTAAATGGTATATATACAAAAATAAATTTTCTTTTCTAATGAAATTTTACATTTAAAATTGTCAAAATTAAAATGGTAAATTTTTTTTCCAATTTAAATCACATGATCCAACAAAAACTATTTTAAATTATAAATCCACCAATATAAGTTTAGCTTAACAGTAATTGACATCTGTGTGTCTGAGACTATGTATTCTGATCCAACACGAAATGAATGATACCATGTCATATTGAATGAGTTTTGGCATTTGATATAAATTCAAAATATGTTCAACTATACAAAACTGTCATGTACAATGTGGCCGCTTCTCCCAAATTTCTCCTTCAACGCAACTCCTTTATTTTCCTCGCTCCGAAAAAAGAAAAAAAGTATATTACTTTTGTAAGTTTCGTTCAACTACTTTAATCCTCCATGTTCGGAAAATATTGTCATTTCGTTCTCGTGATATTATACTTTTTTTTTTTTTAATGAAGTGACCAAATTAATAATCAATTAGACAAATAATAAGGCCTGACAACAAAATTACTTATCATAATACGAAATTCAAAGACATAATTATAATTATACAATAATTAAATCTGTAAAAGTAGAACAATCCGTTGTAATCCGCACCCCACTTGAAGTAACCAACTAAATTTTTAAAAGTAAACTAATTAAAAAGAGGTCGAAAGTTGGACATGAAAACTATTTTCAAACGTTGAAAAATATAATAGTAATTAGGAGAGTGAGGAAGAAGTGAAAGCGAAAAGAACAGGAAGCAGAAGCCGCCATTGAAGGTAAAATTTGGAGTCGTAATATCGCAATTTTTATTGGGAAGGGAAGTGGTGCAGAAGAGTATTCCATTTGCACAACTTTTCCGCATCTCACCTCTTTAATCTTCGCAGCGCAGGAAAGAGAAAAAATGAGCATTCTATTTGTGAAGAAGACCAATTATTAGCTGCTGAAAATTACGATCAGAGATGCAAATGAAAACACATCACATTGGGTGTTGGCGACGCTAAACAATGTCCACCACCCACATCATACTGTTCCCCCTTTTTGATTTCATCGCTGTACTGTAAAACTATGGCATCTCCATTACGATCCGAGGCTGAAAATCGATGACAGATTTGAAGTCAATGTTCACAACAAACTACTACAGCGGCGGATTTCAATTACGGCGAAATCGCCTTCGCTTCGTTTTTAACTTGGATACATCCACAAGTTTGAGTAATTACACGAATTTGACTAAGAAAGATATTTACAACACTGAGAAAGGAAGGGAGGAAGGAAGGAACAAGAATCGCAGTAGTTAAAAGAGAAAACCCTAGGGCTAAGGTAAGAACCTATTTGCCTTATCTTCTCCTCCTTCTTTTACCCTGGATTCGGTCCCAGCGTTCGAACTCGAGCTCGCCGGGAAACCCCCGCACTTCTGGCACTGATTCACCACCAGAATCTGACGGCACGAAGGGCACGAGGAGTGAGATCGGAACCAGGTATCGATGCAGGCCACGTGAAAGCCGTGGCCGCACTGCGGCAGCACCCGGATTTCATCACCGACAGCGAACTCCGCGAGGC